AAAGGGGTCTTAGTAATAAAGAGTGTTGTATAAAGAGAAGGAGCAGTTTAATCCTCAATCTCTGATGTGTATGGGAACACCTTAGGAGTCAATACAGCGTACTAAATCTTTGGGCATGTGAGGAGGGGATGTCCAGTTCTCGGTTCTGTCCATTGAGAGTAGAAGAAACACACCCAAACAAGCAAACAAACAAAGTAACAAACAAACCCAAAAACCTTCTTAGTGAGCTTTCTTTGGAAGCTATGCAGGCCATTGATAGTTTTGAGATGAAGAACATTTCAATGCCAACTTGAATTGGATGGGATGTTTTCGTGTTCTCTGCACAGATGGAGAACCTGTGAAGCTGGCACTGCCCCAGCCTTTGCTGTTTCACTGCAGAAAGAAGCTCCGCATGTCAGGCTCTCTGCACAGGCCTGTGTTGGTGTCAACAGCTTTTCCAACAATCCCCAAAGAGGGCTCCCTCCTGCTGTGAAAGTCCTTGGCTTCCTCACAGCCAAGCAACAGAGCATTTCAGGGGCCCTTTGTCTAGATGCAAGAGCCAGGATGAAATTCTTTCTGATTAGGGAAGTCTCTGTGAAGATAGGGGGTTAGAAAGGATTCTGTTCGGTCAGTAGTTTTGCATTTTTTCAAGATAAAGAAAACGTAGTATAATTTGGTAATGGGTTCATTCTAGAACGTAGCTTTGTGATGACTGGATATCATAGCCTGCAAGTGAGGCGAAGCTTTGACCTGAAGATGCTGAAGTCAATTGTAAGTAGTCCTGCTGGGGGACCTCCCTCTTGTCCTTTCTCTAATTAGCATCGCTAAATGAAATGTTGGGAGTCAGATAACTTGAATCCTTCCAGCCTTGGATCTGAGACTGACAGCTTCCCGAGAGTTTTCAGTGGAGACGTTACAGACACATGACAAATGGTTTATCTTAACATTGCAAGAAATTGCTGGTGTAGATAACCTTGATGATGTCATCCTAACAAAGACCTCAGTGGTCCAAGGGTTGGAAGTGATGTAATATGATTTCAAATAGAAGATGTTGGTATTTCTTGATTGGTGTTTACACACCTGAGATGCTGTGAGCTACAGGACCTTTGACTTCATTTGCAATTGGTGATTTTGTTAGTCCAAGTTTTACTATTTGCTGTCATTAAAATGAAACATTGAAGTTGATGTTATGTCAAACATTCCAGCTTCTTATACCAGAGAAATTAGAACCTTTTTATAATTGAGTAAAAGTCATAATTCTTTTTCAGTGTTGCTTTGATGTTTAGGTCAATTTCTAATGCAATGGGATAAATAAACACCCTGTTTGTATCTGTCTCTGTCTGTCTGTCTGTGTCTTTCTCTCATGTGCTCTTGTGTGTGTATGTGTGTGTGTGTGTGTGTGTGTGTGTGTGAGAGAGAGAGAGAGAGAGAGAGAGAGAAAGAGAGAGAGAGAGAGAGAGAGAGAGAAAGATGTTTGTGAGCATTATTCTGGATTGGATGTTTGTCAGCTGAATCTGATTCTCAGCAAGGACTGAGATTATGATTTGAAGACCTGAGGTTGCAGACTGGTGAAGAAAATTGAGAAAATAAAAATGCGGTGGGGAGTGACCTGAAGATGGGCCAGCTTGCTCCTGTTCAGTGGGATTTCTCTGCACTTCTCCTGTGGCTATTTTACAGTATAATTTCTGTTGCTGCCTTTTCTGATTCCAGGTGATGAGCAGCGCAGAGAGGGTCAGTCTGCGATCTCATTGCAGAAGACAAGGCCGTACAAACTTACGAATGTCTTGTAAACACATGGCTGAGAGTGAGCACGGGAGAACAGTCTGTATCAGTGGAAGGTTGCAACCTCCTTGTTTATATGATTCTGGACACTTTAGACTGCCATTAAGGAGCTGGGGGCTGAAGGTAGAACAGATCTTCTAACTGGATAAAGTTTTTGTATTAATATTATTGCAGAGGTAGGAGAGATAGCTTGGAAAAGAATATTTGCTTTTCTTCCAGGAGACCAGAGTTCAGTTCTTAGTACCTACAGTGGGAAGCTTACAACTGCCTGTAATTCCAGTTTCATGGTATCTAACACTCTCCTCTGGCCTCTATGTGGAACCCACACATGCTCACACACACACACACACACACACACCCCTTAAGGCATCTTATTCAAACATCCAGTTTTCAGCTCGTCCAAGCACTCCCTGTCTTGCTGATTAGCACAGCCTTGTGATGAAGTTTCAAGATGTTCTCCGCAAGGATGGCTGGTGGCAGAAGACTGGGCATCTTGCTACAGAGACAGTGTGTTCTAGTGCAACCATCAGAAGTTATTTTCAACCCTCCTGACCTCTGCAGAGGTGATGCTATTATAGAACAAGATGCGCAAACACTTTTATTCAGACGGCTGTAGCTCAGTGTGAGCCGTCATATGACACAGACTGCTATGCCGTTTTCCATCCCTGATGGGGTGATGGTGTGGAAAGTGTTTCTAATGCAATCGAAGGATGTTCCTGAGATAACAGTGGCACAGATCAGTTCTGTTGTATTTGACAGTTTGTGGGTCAATAGATGCAGAGTCATGGAGCCTGGCACTAGAATCTTCACGTTCTGAAAGTTTCCATTTCTACATTAAAACCTCCACAGAGACTAACTAAGCAGAGGAGTCAGGGTTTTATGCACTTGAAAAGGGAACTAGCAGATGCACCTTAGACTTAAGGTGGCGTTATGCTCCCAAAGCCTCACCCATCTAAACTGAGATGCCTTCAATACATCCATCCAGCGTGGCAAATGCCACAGGGTGGACTTGCCTACCTTGAACACACTCAGAACACTTGGCGTCAGGCTTTTTTAGGCAAATCTTCTAGCAGCCAGGCTATTTCATAATGAAACATTGATCATCTCATGTAGATTGTTAAATGCTGTACTGTGAGTGAAAAAAACCAAAACTAAAACCAAAACAAATGTGAAGTTAAAAAAATATTCCTAAGTCAACCATTTTATACTAGGGACTACCTACAATATAGTAACTGTTTATTCATTCTTTGAATCAACTTAAATAGTAGTGAGTTTCATATAGCATTTTCATATGTCATTATCTTAGTCCCTTTCCTGCATATGCTTCTTATCTTAGAAAGGAGAAGAAAATAGTGCCGGTCTATGCAATTTTTGAGACAGGGTCTTCCCGCTCAGCCTCCCAAGTGCTAGAGGACACGCACACACCACATCCCTGGGCGCTGACCGTTCAATCTTAATGGCTGTTTACTAATGGCTATGCATATGTCATCCATGTATCTATATAGTGTAATGTCAGGGAGTATTATGGAGCTGATAAGTGAGATTGCCAGGGCAGATTAGAGAGCCAGGCATTCCTGACTTCACAGCGGCTTCATTTTTCTTAAAAATTTTGATGTCATTTTTGGATGAGTCTAAGATTTTTGGTGAAGTTTTAGTACTGACATGAGCTTTGAGGATGATCTCAAACACTGTGTCAGTCACCTCTTACTTTCTACTGAAGCCAGAGACTCATTTTAGCTAGGGGTCTATGGCTAGCTGAGGCGGGAACTCATCTGAAGCAGGTCTTGCTTGCAGCCCGGGGCTCTTCTCACCAAGTAAAAGAATGCAATGAAGAGTGTATTTTCTTATCACTTATTAATATAGAATAACAAAATATAGAATTTTTGATGTTAATTTTTGTCATTGCGGACATGTATATGTTGCCAAGTGGAGATTATTTTCTTACTTTAAGGTGAATAAAATGAGGCTATTTATATTTTTTGAAAAATGAAAGAAAGAAAACTCTTGTTTAAAAGCATCAGCCTTATAATTTGTCTTTATATGTGCCTGTATTAAATACAGGAAGTGCAGCATGCACACAATACGTATTTGTTTTGTAAATGAATAGCTCAAATCAAACCTTTGTTAGGAACGACTCCACATCAGACTTGATGATCACTTCCTGAGATTCAAACCCTCTCTTGCTTCTTTTAAGATATCTTGAAAATTTTCCAATCAGACATCAGCTATTGTATGCATCATATTGCTTGCGTTTTTCATATCTACCAATTCTTTACAGTTAATATTTAAAAATACCGTTCTTTTAAAATATATGTATGCGTGTGTGTGAGCGTGGGAATCACACACCGAGCGCAGGTGCTCTCTGGCCAGAGGAAGGCGCTGGATCCCAGCGGGGCTGGGTTTACAGGTGGGGGCAAGCTGCCGGATGTTGGGAGCTGGAGTGTTCTTACCTTGCCTCTGGCCACTATAACTGCTTTGTTTTGGTTTTTGTTTGTTTTGCTTTGCTTTTCATACTTATCTAATTACTATTAGGGAATTCTTTTGGGGATTAAAAGTGTTTATCCAAAAACTCACTCCCTCTTTTTTCCCTTACAGATGACAGGTCTCAAATACAACAGGGCTAATTTAAAACTGTAAATCGAGCTTCAGGTATTTGAATGGGGAGACATAAAAGTTACTGAGAATTTTAAATGGTAAGAGAGCGAGCTAATGAGTCAAGTTTTCCTCACAAGTCTGAGGAATGGCTTCTCTTTCATCTACCAGGGCTCTGAGAGGACATCCTGCTGTCGTTTTGAAAAGCAAGTGACAGCAGGTTTGCTGTTGCCCAGTTTTCAGTATGTCACCCACATTCCCCTCATCTTTTCGTCACCCTCCACCAAGCATTAATATCACCTCAGATGTTTGTTGTTGAAGCCTGTAGCTCAGAAAGGATGCTTAGAAGGTGCGGTGTGCTTTAGGGGGCCGCATCATCACAGTATGCCTGGAAAAACAGTTCCTGGGATGTCTGAGTTATATTGAGTTGTAAAACTCCAGAACGGGCCAAGGGTTAACAACCCTGAATTTTGTCCTTAAAATTAGTTTCAGAAATCTCCATTATAGACACATTACCTCTGGGCGGTGGCCGTCTGATTGATTTGCCCAGAGCTACTTTCTTCAGTGGTCTTTTAAGCACTCATCCTTCATTTTGCTTCTAGAAATGAGACGCGCTCCTCCTCCCTCGCGGGGGCATGGGTTTTTACCTGCCAGTACAGCTTGATGAGCTTGCTTACACTGTGCTCGCTTCCTCCGCAGAGCCAGAACATGTAGTCAGCAATCATGGCACTCCTTGGGACAAAACAGATGTAAAATACCATGAGCTTACAAGGCAGAGGGAGAGCTGTAATAGACAGTGTGCACAAACCACGTGCACATTTAACCTGAGTAAGAGTAAGCCAAACAAAACACTTTTAAGGATACAGCACATAGCTGACTGTTTTTCAAGCTGCCCAAGAGTACTTATGCACAGGTGCTTATGCTCTGCTTTGGTCTTTTGTATGAAGCATCAGAAGATGCACAGAGTAGCAGATCCTAAAGGCTCCTTTTTGTGGGACTGTTGCACCATGCACACAGACTTAAAGATGTTTGCAAGCCTAGCACAGCTCTGAACTGTTAGATGGCCATTTAAGCACGCCTCAGGCTTTACCTGAGTTAAGAGATTATTTATCTCTGATTAAATTTGCTTTTTTTGCAACTGAAAATTAAAAAAAAGCAAAACAAAATACAATTCAACAGATAACCCCCCTCCCAACTTTGTGTCTAATTGAATTAGCTTCCAGATCCAGTGCATACAGTCAATGCATTGGTCTTATTAAGCCGGGGGATATTAAAACTATTGTGGAATGGATATTAATTCATTACTTAGCACCCCTTGGAAAACAGTTTACTTTTATAGCTGTTTCTTTGCTAGGATTCTCTATTTCTTTTTTCCCCAGAGATTGCAAATCCAATTAAATGTGACTAGAAGTAATTCCAAATTGTCACGTTAGCCAATTAAACATATAATAATCCTGTGTACCTAATCAGTAGTACCAAAAGTTTATTTATTTAAGTAGAGCTATCACTGTGTACTCCTGCCTGTTTTTCTTATCTTCGCCTGCAGATACGTGTTGTTTCTTGACATCACTGTAAATTGAATTAGAAATGTTCCTTCCCTAAATATAGGTTGTCTGAGGCAGAGAAACTATAAACTTACTATAGCACTTTTCTCAAAGAATTAAAACATTTACATTCCTGCTCATGACAGACAAAAATTAGGACTTTGAAAATCAGCAGTGGGGCTGGGAAGACGGCTCAGTGGGTAAGAGGATTCGCTGTGCAAACATGTGGACCGGAGCCAGCTCCGCAGCTTCCATGTAAAGTCTGGGCCAGGCTGTGTGTGACTGTCACTGCAGGGCTGTGGGGTCCCCCAGACAAGAGCATCACTAGGGCTCATTGTCTACTTAGCTCCACACTGGGTGAGCGACCCCGTCTCACGGAAATGCTGTGAGAGTGACAGAGCAGGTCATCTGGTGTATGTGACACACACACACAGACATAGACACACACACACACACACACACACACACACACACACACTGGGAAAAAACAATAGCGTTTAGAGGATTACTCAACTCAATGGTTTCTTAATGCATATGGAATGTTGGAAAAGAGTTGTATCCTAACATTTCAAAGAAATGACAGTTATCTTTGAAGATTCCTGTCATGTTTCCCTGAGGCTGTAATAATAGAAGTCTACCAGGAGGCTTTGATGCTGTGTGAGTGTGGAGAGACATCAGGAGGCAAAGCTGTATTTCAGAGGTTTGTGTTGGTAGAAGCATCTGGAAAGTCTTCTCCTAGTGACCCCCAAAGCAAGTCAACCTGCCATGAAGGTGTTCTTACCTACATTCTGCTGTCAATATGAAGTCAAAGGATCAATAGAAAATGTGAAAAAATCTACTCCCAAGGGCGGCAATGCTGTTGTTAGAGGAGGTGTAAACTACCTTGCCATCCTAGTCTGTACCCGGCTTCCTCCTTCCACTTGAATTTGGATGTACAGATAGGTCAAAAGTGAACTCAAATCAGGAATGTGAGTCAGAAAGACGTAAGTCCACTGCATCTGCTTCCCCAGGGGAAGAGCAGCCCACTTCTACTACTGGCTTTCCTCTGTCCCACAGGGCAGCCTGGGGAGTCAGTGTAGTCTGGAAAGAGACCCGACAAGTGTGTGGACGTATTGTGCCATATGACAATCGTGAGGCAGCTGACAGGGGTTTCATACTGTCGAATTAAAAACGAGCATCTCCAAGGACTCAGGTACCATGTGAGATCCAGGATCTGGCAGACTTGCTATATCAATCAATGCAAACATTACCCACTGTTCTTCCTACTCTCCATCAGGTATCTGTTCTAATGGCCCCAAGTCCTGAACACTAGTCAGTGTGGCTCAGTGTTACTACTGTCTTTGCCTGCAGTCAGCATTTTATGCACCTGACCATCGAGGGTTTCTGCACTCTGGTCAGATCTCATCAGCTCGCTCCCTTTAATGAAGTAAGAACTTTCTGTCTGTTTGTCTGTGTGTTACTGCTAAGCACCACATCAAGCAGTTTACATGGCAGAACGTAAACCCAGCACACCAGCTTCCACACAGGACCTCACTCGGCTGAGCCAGCATGGGAACAATTCTAATAGTTCTCCACTCTCTGGTTGCTCTTCTCTTTCCAGTTCCCCTTTCTCCTGGAGGATTTCTGTCAGCTCACAAATGTGCTGTCTCTCCCACTGCGAACTCTCTTGCCTCCCCCTTCCAGTGACTACCTGACTACGACTTCTTCTCCATTAAAAAAACAAACAAACAAAACCACACAAACCAACAAAAACCTTAAAAGACAGAAACACAAAACATGTGTACTCCAAGCAGACCTCTATTCCTTCCAGTGCCTCCCATGGCCCACACTGCTGAGGGCGGTGGTTTACCTCTGTCCTGATGTGACATGTGTTCTTGGTTTAGGGATGATATTACTTCCCACTTGGCTTTCTTTCTGGTTTTCTCCTATGTCCTGGTTGCTCTCTTGAGTCTCCTGGAGTCTTCCCCTCCCCAAATTCTCACTTTCTTTTGTTCTCACTTTCTTGCTGAGCACACTGGTTTCATGGTTTTAAACACCAAATATATATTGGCTATCCAACCCTTCCACCAAGTATCTGAAGCACTCTCTTAATCTCCCGAATCTCGGGAAGCTAACTTCCCAGCCTTTCTACTTCTCAATGCTTCTACTTGATGGCTAATTGGTACCTAATGGAACAAAATCATATGTAAGACTCTGAGCTTCCCTCCTCCCTCCCAATACCTCACAGTCTTCTCGGACTTTCTCTTCTGTGCCTTGGCTTTATTATACTTTCAATCAACACATAATAATTACATAAGTTATGGAGGATAATGTAGTAATATGAGCGGCAGGGCTGCGTCCCCAGCACCCCAGCCGCCTGCTAGCTTATGCCCCGAAATAATTACATGGACACTGTATTCATTTAAACACTGCTTGGCCCATTATATCTAGCCTCTTCTTGGCTAACTCTCGCACCTGGACTAGCCCATTTCTAATAATGTGTGTAGCATCCCAAGGTGCGCTTACCGGGAAGATTCTAGCCTACGTCCATCCTGGGTCGGAGCTTCATCACGTGTGCCCGGGAGAGGGGAGCATGGCCTCTGCTCCAGAGAGCAGAGCTATCGAGTCTGAGCTCACTTCCTCTTCCTCCCAGCATTCTGTTCTGTTTATTCCACCCACCTATGTTCTAACCTATGAGGGCCAGCCAAGCAGTTTCTTTGTTTTTTTAACCAATGACCTTCCTCCATCATTTCCCCTTTTCCTGTTTAAACAAAAAAGAAAGGCTTCAACTTTAACATAGTAAAATTACATATAGCAAAAACAGTTATTAAGCAAGAATCACAGTTACAATATTTATATCTATTTTATCTTTTATCATAACAATGGAAAACTATAACTATCTATTCATTCTTCAACTCCATCAAAGACTCCAGAAGGATATAATACTACCTAAGTAAACAAGAAATAAGAAAACTCTAGAAATGACAGAGACATCTTGCTGCCTGGACAGTCACCCAAAGTTCTTTTGTACCGTTGGGGCATCCATCTTCAGCCTTCAGGCCCATAGTATCCAGCAGACATTTTCATCAAGCAGGAAATTTCAAAGACAGTTCAGTTACTATCTGCTGTGTCCTGCAGAATGTCTCGCAGACTCTTTCATGAGTCATGAACCCCAAAAGACCGTCTCACCTTTAGGCAAGTTCAGCAGTCCTCTCTCTGCGGGTTCTCTGTGTCCATTTTATGCAACAGTCCAGGCAAGAGCAGTTTCTTGCCCAAATGGCTATCAAACTCCATAAGGATCCTCTTCGATGCCCATCTTCTTCTTGAAGTAGATTGGTGCTGCCAGGAGCAGTTGTGTCTCATTGTCATGAAAAGTCCTAAGTTATTAAAATATTTTAAATGCCATATTCTGCAGCCTTTGAGAGATATGAAGAATGCCTATTTGAAATATATCTCTATATATCTAGAAAATCTAAGTGACATGACTACAAACTTGACTATTATTTATGATTATCCATCAACAACCTATATTTCCTAATTATACATTACATTTTAAATGAACTACACAATCACAATACCTTAATCAATATCAGAAATACATATACATATAACAAAATTGACCTTAAAATCCATACCAATGCAAATTATTCATATCTATATCATTTCCCCCTTTAAATGTAAAAGAACATTTATAAACAATATTTTGGGAACATGGGCGCAGTTTTTTCTCACCAAACTGCTTCCTGCTGAATGGGGGCGCTGTTAATCAAATTGTTTAGGGTGTAACCTGTGTGTCAGGTTCATCTCAGTTGGCAGTTGAGTGAAGTAATTTTCTGAAGATGTTCCCAGCAACCCTTCAGGAGGGCGTGGTCCATCATACCATATCGGGATAGAATCAATCCAGAGGGTCTGGTCCTCTGTGAAAACAAAAGAAGACCCTCTCCAAATCATCATATCCTTAGACCCAAATTTTGAAATCGTAATACCCTTATATCCATTCTGGTTTAGCTTGGCAGCCCATGTAATGAAATGTCTCTCTGTACTTAGCTCCTTCACAGTCAAAAATTTTAAAGAAAACACAATGTACATAATCCAGACTCTCTGTGAGTTTTCCATTTTTACGTGGCTTATTTTTTTTTATTTCTTTTAATCTCTTAACTATCTGTATTCTGTCTCTTTAAAGACTTTACCCTTTTTTTTTAAGACATT